AATGCCTGTTTCTGTAAATGATTTTCTCTTATAGGGCATTTCAATCCAGAACACATGCTGCCCAGGACTGTCATTACAGAATTATTTTTTTTCTTTTGTATAGAGGATAAATATAATTAAAAATATGGTATTTTGATAAATACATACAGTAAATACATATAAAGATTGATGTTGTTTACTGAATTTCTGAGTTCACTTTCTTAGCTTTCACCACATTTACATGCAGAACAAGCTGTCCAGTAAAAGTGACAGTGCTTATGGTTGGGACAAAGAATAACATTGCTACAGGTGCTTACAGCCATTCTTAATTCACATTGTTTTAGATTGGATTCCCACCTGTATGTGTTTTATTAACAAATGTACATTTCCATAATTTGTCATTGCCATTAATTGTCCCTGCAACACATGCTGATGCATCAAACAATGGACAACACCCATCAATGCATTATACTGATGTAAACTAGAACCATTTAAAACAATGGTAACTTGTGCATGTGTTCACAGTTGTTAGAATGCATAGGTGTGAACAGATCCTCAGGGTTAATCATGACCCTGATCTGTTAAAATGCAGTTGTCTTATGTTTTTTATTAACTAGTGTACATTACCATGCTTTGCCATTGCTATAAATCGGCCCTATAACACATGCTGATGCATCCAACAGTGGAAAACACACATTAACAAAATTGACACAGATGAGAACTAGATCCATATAAAATGATGGTTATCCTGCATGCATGCATTCACATGTGTTAAAATGCATAAATGAATAGACCCTCCAGACTAATCATACCCTGGCACACTGAAACATGTGTCATGGTTCCTCATAATAAAGATGGTGTTTGTTCTCATCAAAACACTGCAGTGTGGTATTATGAAAAGTATGATATGTCCATTTGTTCTGCATTTTAATGTGTTGGGAAGTCTAAAAGAAGTAAATTGCATTTCATCAAATGCATAACATTGTTTGGATGTGTTGGCAACAATTATCTCCAAGTCTTGGTCATTGGCTGTTAACCCTTTTCCTTCCAAATTCCAACATCAAAAAATTGAAAACTCACATCAAAGCACAAAAGAAATGCATGTCGAGGTATGACAATACACCTGCATAATGCTACAAAAATGCACCTTATAAGCACATGCATAGATCTAAATGGGCACTCAATCTTCTTAAAAGAGGAGTATGGAAATTATAAAAAAAAACACCTACATACTCACTAAAAATACATACATACTCACCTAGGTGGAGTCTGCATCTGTCCCTTGCTGCCTCTAAGGTTGAGTGCCAAGCGATCAAAGACCACTGATCACTCAGTTCTCGGTCATCAGTGAACAGACAGCCAGTGACTGTCAATTAACACCTCCTTGCTCTGCCCCTCCAGTGCTCACTGGAGCACTGGGCTGTTGAGGGGGTGAAGCAGCTGGCTCATGATGAACCAGCTACTGACCAGGAATCTGGATGGATCCTGACTTTAAAGTCGAGAACTCTCCAGAGGCTGGTCTGGCTCAAGTGTTGTCACCCGTCAGCAGGCTTTAGCCTGCTGTCGGCTGAATACTAGTCACAGGAGAGTAGAAAGAAGTGCACTCCTTGGACCCATAGGAGAAGTAGGGCCAAAAGAACTTTGGCCCTACTTCTCCTTTAAATATAAACTATTCTTGTAACTATCATTGTAGCTTTAGAGCTTATCTAAACCTTTATTACTGTCAACTTCTGTTGGCCAGCTTGGCATGCATGTAAATATGGAGATTATAAAGGTACGAGTTCATTAAAAAAATCTGAATATTATATTATATATTTTTCATGTAGCAACTGCACACAGTTATTGCATATTTTTATCATAGTTCTTTTTTACATAAGTTAACTTTTACTGGGAACCTGTCACCAAGACAAAAGAGCTTGGACATGCAGCAGTTAAATAATACATGTGACTGTCTTGCCTGCTAATGCTATGGAATAATAATGCTACTATACAAAGTTCACTGTAGATAAACTGGAAAGAACGTTATCAAAGCTAAATGTTCAAGAGTGAACTATACTCCTCTTTTTTACTCCTGCACTGCAACATAATACCAAGAAGTATGTTTGCATTTCATGCATGTAGTGTGTTAGCTTGTTTTGCGCCTTTTTACTTTCATGCAATTGATTGACCTATTTTTTCACTTGTGTCTCAAATTCAAAGCTCCTTCTTTAGACCTATGAGACACATCTACTATACAATTTGTTTAGGATTTTGGTCATGTCAAAACATCTAATTATTTAGAAATAATAACTGTGAATGTTAGAAATTAAAGTGATGTCAGCATGGCTTTCATTAACATGGGAAAATCATTAGAAACTATTTACTTATAGCATTTCCCAGATTTAATGGGTTAGGTTACTAAAGGACTAGAGGCTGTTCACTTAGAAAAGCATGTTCACTTTGAAAGACAGCAAATGATAGTAAAAAAGGCAAACCTGCATTGTTGGAAAAAAAATATTGCTACCCTTAGGATTTGCCCCTAGCATTTAGGGAGATTTCCCCTCACTCCCTATTCTGTCTTTCTTCCATTACTTGGGCAGGAAGAGAGGAGAAATCACACAAAGAAGGACACAGACACCAAGGGGGGATTTACTAAAACTGGAGCGTGCAAAGGTGTCCGTTTATGACACAGAGAATAGGTGCGATTCAGAGGATCACAGCTACACTCTGGTCATTCACAGTTGATGACACTGAGGAGATCAGTGGAGAACATGTTCAGCCCTTCACTGGAGATCTGTGTTCTTCCTCCAGATTCTCCAGCCCGGAGCTGGAGAATCGCAGGAACCACAAACTAAGCAGTGATAATTTACCTCTGCTTAGTAAACTGATCTTTTACTGTAATCTCGCAAGATTATAGTAAAATCAGCCGTTTTCCAGAGTTTGTAGACCGTTTTCCCTTCGTTCGGAGAACTGATCTACACTGCTTCATAAAAGGCATTCACAGGAGAACTGTGATCTATGAGAAATCTGGAGAACTGAGCAGCAATCATTTACCACTGGTTCATAAATGGACACCAAAATCTGGTGAAGCTTTGCATAGAAACCAATCAGGTTCTGGGTTTAATTGTCTAAAATAATTGAACAAGCTGAAGATAGAAGCTGATTGGCTACCATACAAAGCTGCAGAAGATTCTGAGTGCTCCAATTTTAGTAAATCTCCCCCCTAGTTGTCAAAAGATTCCAATCTTTCATGTTCTGAAGCTAAATGTATGTACTAAACAAAAGGTTTTTTTTTAATTCCAGCTAGTGTAATAAAAATGGATTGGTACTAACATTTTCAATCTTATGGCTGCCATTTTATGACCAGGAACATGTCCATGGCATGATGAATATTTAATTCCTGAAACACTTGCATAACTTCTATAGCAAAATGTGCAATTTGTCTCAAATCTTGAACTCTATAGAAGAACCACATAAAACCGGGAGCTCTTGATACAACTCTGTCACTAGACACCAAAACCAATTAACCAAAATTAATTCATTATTACAATGTCATTCATTACACTGTAACATTAACCCAGATTCTAGCAGACTACGCAAAAGCATGTTATATTATCCAAATAGTAAACTATCCAAATGATGTTTTCTTGGTAAAATGATAATAAATTCCCCTTTAAATGGTTGCAAAGCTATCCCGAGAAATGAATGATGGCAATCATTGCATGTGCTTACCACAAACAATCAGATTTGCTTCAGATTTAATTTTTTACTTCAATAATATATACCAACAACTTTGTAGTATGATGCTCTCCCTAACGAGAGCAATTAGAACAAATTGGTAAAGCTGGCCTTCATACAGTGGGGTTGATTTATTAACCGCTTACCCGCTGCCGCATAGCAGTTCTACTGTTACACGGTGGCATGGGTGCACAAAATCACGTATATATACGTGATTTTGCATTTCCGGGTAGGGGGCATGGGCGCCCTACCTGCACCACCATTCACGGCCATGTACATCAATCACCGGGTCCCGGCCAGTGATTACTGACAATCACCGACGGGGAGGAAGACTTCCTCCCTGTCAGCTCAGGCACATTGCTTGGGATGGCTGTGCACAGTACAGCCATCCTGATCAGTGTGCTTACAGTCAAGAACACCTCCCCATCCTCCTAGTAAAACACTCCCTACACACAGTTAACCCATTGATCGCCCCTCACATTAACCCCTTCCTGCCCAGTGTCATTAGTACAGTGTCAGTGCTGTTTTTTTAGCACTGATCACTGTATTGGTGTCACTGGGGATGTCAGTGACAAGTTAGTTCCCCCCTCAGTGTCAGAATGCCCGCCGCAGTCCTGCTAAAAGTTGCTGATCGCCGCCATTACTAGTAGGACAAAAAAAAATCCCAGTATATATACCGCCATTTGTAAACGGTATAACTTTCATGTAAACCAATTAATTTACACATATTGGGATTTTTTTTTAGCAAAGACATGTAGCAGAATACATTTTGACCTAAATTTATGACGAAATTTGATTTTTTAAAATTGTTTTTACTGGACATGTTTAATAGCAAAAAGTCCAAAATATTGTTATTTTTCTCATAATTGTCAGTCTTTTTTTCCTTATAGCACAAAAAATAAAAAATGCACAGGTGAACAAATAACACCGAAAGAAAGCTCAATTCGTGGAAAAAAAAAAGGACGTAAATTTCATCTAGGTTGCATGACCGCGCAATTGTCAGTTAAAGTAATGCAGTGCCGTAACGCAAACAATGACCTGGTCAGGAAGGGGGGTAAATCCTCTGGAGGGCAAGCAAGCTTGTTTTTTTTTTTTTTAATTAAAATAACAAACATGTTCTATCCCCTAGATTGTAAGCTCTAACGGGCATAGCAAAATTCATAAAAAAACACACCAGAATGGAGTGTGGTGTGAATTGTAAACAAAAATGCATGGGGAACACATCAGGAGTGTGTTTTTGTGGTGTGAACTGGCCCTAATGCATTCTATTGTCAGAAATGTAATTTATTCTGGCCATTAGAATATAGTAGCCTCCCTGGCGGTATTCCTGACTGTAGCTCGGGGTAAAGTTTCAGTACCACAAGCCGTAACCCCGAGCTACACTCGGGCTTACCATGCGGCACTGCTCCGGGATCTGTTCTTCTCTTACCTTGTTCTGCGCTCCCGCGATGTCCCTCCTGCAGTGTCCCCAGCAATGTCCTCCGGCGGATGCCAGCATCTGTCTTCTGGGTTCCGTTCCCTGCGACGTCAGGACGTACGGGGGATAGAACGGCGGGAAATTTGAAAATGACAAAAAGTGACATTCACTAAATTCACTAAAATAACATTGTAAAACATTACTGTATCAAACCATTTCACATACATTTTGTCCCTAGTGCTTTGTCCTGTGCCCTGCCTGCATTTTTACTGTTCTTTCCACCTGGAAACTGAGAAATGTCCATGGCGTCCAAAAAGGGTCCCTTTAGGTCAAAATCGGTTTTAGACCAGCTAGAGAACAGCGATAGTAAATTAGAACTACTTGTAGAATTGAGTGATAATGATTTGTGGGGAAATTCGTCATCAGACACTGAAAACTATTTTGCGACTTTGCTCAGTGATGTGCGAACTTGGTGCTATATTTCAAATTTCAGTGTTTTTGGTTTGATTATATTATTGAATAAAATGTATTATTATTATATTATTTTTTTATGATTATTTAATAAATTATAATTTATGTTTTCGTGTTTCAAATTTTAACATGCCCGGGATGTTTACTAGACTCTTGTTCGGACATATTTCAGTGATTTATTCCTAAAAATTACAGGCCTAAAATAAAAAAAATACATATTTCCATGCATAAAAATGTACCGCTTTGAGCACAGAAATATGGACATAATCAGACCGCTAGGGAGGTTAATGCACAAATGCACATAAACGCGCCTAGCATTAACGCATGTTTATGCCTGCTTGCACATTTTTTCAACCCAAATGCTCCTCTTCAGAATGCACACATGATTTTTTTTCCCCTGCCTCTAAACTCCTGTAAATGCCTATAGTGAGCATGAGCACATAGGTTAGCATAGCATAGAGGACACCAGTTGTTTTGATCGGCAGAATAAGAAAAATGCCTTTACACCAGTTGTTTTGACGAGCTCAAGGTGTGCATGATTCTCGGTCAAAGTGAATAAACGGGGAGAACGGTGAAACGCCAAGTAAAATTCACTTTGCAAAGACCAGGCTCAGCTTCACCTCATTCAGTAAACCAATCTCCTGTGAAACTAAAAGAGAATAGCTGAGATCCGTTGAATGCTACTGATCACAAACGGACACCATAGTAAAGTAACCCCTGTCTATGTGTTGATACATTTTGTTGGAAAACATGTGACCAGCATAACTTTGTAACTATGTATCTTGTAGCAATGCAAAGATATATACAGATACAACAAAATACCACAGAGCTTCTGCTGAACCCACATTCACACCAGAGCATTTTGCAGCCTGAAGTTCAAAGCCTCCAAACTCAGAACAAGCCAAAACTCATGATTTTAGACTGCACCTCTTCACATTTAAGTATTCAGGTGCCTGTAGCTCAACATGTGAAGCTCCAAAATGTACATACTACTTTTGAAGCCGAATGGGACATTTTTGGCCCATTGACTTCAATGTAAATGCATGGGAAAAAACATACAACAATGTGTTTTATGCATTTTTTTTTCATGATAATATAAGTGGCCAAAAAATATGCTTGCAGTTTGATTTTACAAAAGGGCCGAGGACATCTTTCCCAGAATTTCTCACAGGTAGAACAGCTTATTCAAATGAATGGCCTTGCCCTGCATGCATCACACAACCAAGCCTAAAACACATCTAAAAATATTGAAACCATTTCATGTGCTAAGGCTGGCCATGCATTATACAATTTTCTTGAAAAATTTGCTTTAGATTTACCAAAAACCATATAATATGAGGTCAAACCTAAACAACACTTTCAATTGTATCCAATTAGACAGGCCCTTGCACTACATAGTTGAAGGTAAATATAACGGAAATTGGGCAGAAAATTGCATAGTGTATGGCCAGCCACTATACAATTTTCTTACAGTTTTCTGACCAATTCTGCCCAATTTTCTTTAGATTTACCTTCCACTATGTAGTGCATGGGCCTGCCTAATTAGATACAATTGAAAGTGTTGTTTAGGTTTGACCTCATATTTTGTGGTTTTTGGTAAATCTAAAGCAAAAATCTCAGGAAAATTGTATAATGTATGGCCAGTCAAAGGAAGCCTGCTAAGAAACATCAGAAGGATAATGATTGCATAAACCAATGCTGTGCAGCAACCAATCACATTCAAGTAATAATCTAAGGCTGGCCACACTATACAATTTTATTAACATTTTCTGTCCAATTTCCTTTAGATTTACCTTCCACTATGTAGTGCAAGGGCCTGCCTAATTGGATACAATTGAAAGTGCTGTTTCGGTTTGACCTCATATTATATGTTTTTTGGTAAATCTAAAGCAAAATTCTGAAGAAAATTGTATAATGTATGGCCAGCCTAACTAAGGCTGGCCATACGCTATACAATTTTCTTATAATTTTCTGTCCAATTTCCGCCCAATTTCCTTTAGATTTACCTTATACTATGTAGTGCAAGGGCCAGCCTAACTGGATACAATAGAAAATGTTGTTTAAGTTTGACCTCATATTATAGGGTTTTTGGTAAATCTAAAGCAAAATTCTCAAGAAAATGGTATAATTGTCTTCATACACAATGAACATTTTTACAGCGGCTGTTTTTGGCTTTTGGCATTTTTTTCTACAGCCAGTAAAACCCCCAGCATGTTATCTTATGTGTCCATGCACACATAGGATTTAATCAGCGTTTTTTGGCTGGCAAAACCCCCTAGAACTAGTGGGTTTCTAGAGGAGTTTTTTTTTAGCTGTCAAAATGCTCTAACGCAGGTAAACACATCAAAATGTGACAAACCAGAGGGTTTTTTTTAGCCAAAATGGGTCTTTGTGTAAAAACCGCTAAAAACCTCAAATGCAGCTAAACGCTAAAAAATGTGGAAAAACTTGCGTTTTTAATGTGACTGTATACAGCTAACGTTACTGGCATTTTTAAAACTCCAAGTGTGCATGAGGACTAAAGATGAATTCTGATTAGTTAACACAAATGCATTTCCTATCTGGCTTGTTAAATGAATTCATTGGTACCTTATTATTTTATTAAAGAATGACACGGAATCATAGATTCCATGTGCTTGGGACAGAAGGGAGCACACATTCTATATAGCTGAACTAATTTTCAGGTATTCTGTGACAACTAACTGGTCCAAATGATTGATGTATTAAAGGGGTAAAATAGAGAGTAAACTAAAGTAAATTGTGTTCACTATGAGCATCCAATCATATGTGATTAAAAAAAAGCAGTTTTGCTAGCATATGATTGGTTGATCTCAGTGAACACAGCTTCACCTTGTTTATTAACATTCACTATGCAAAGTGAACAGTCTTTACTGCTTTAGTAAATCAACCCCAAGCCACCTAACAGTTTGTAATTATGAAAAGCTTGGGTGAACTTTAATATCTAGTCCAATCACCTGGATCTGACTTATAGATGGAACATTCCCACTGGTGGCATATTCCAGCCTAATAACAAAGAGCTACTGTATATACAGAACAGGGACTAGCAAGGTGAAATAGAGCTAATTGAAATCTAGAGATGTGCTATATTGCAGATGTGCAGTCATAAACTATACAATCTGAGTGTACAATCTCTGTTCAATCCCCCTAAAGCCCCGTACACACAATATTGGACAAATGATCATCCGTTTTTGGGGGGGTTTTTTTGCATGCTAGTCTCATATTGAAAATGAAGAGAATACTAAAGTTACGAAAATTTTTGTACGACAGAATAAAAATTTGGAAATTAAGTAATGCATTTGTATTGTATTTTCAGATGAAAACTGTATTCTTCAAACAAAAATTGTACAATCTGGTATCATACAAGAAACATTTCTGTGCTTGTCCCTTCGATCTGTTTTAGACGAAAGCTGTGTACTAACAATCAGATTATTGTACGAACGCTTTGAAAGCGGTAATTTTCATATAGTTTTCTGACCGTCTGTACTAGGCTTTAGATTTACCAAAAATATGTAATAGGAGGACACACCTAAACAACCTTTTCAATTTGTATCAAATCAGGCAGGCCCTTGCACTAGAGCTGATAGTAGATCTAAAGAAGATTGTACAATCAAATTGTATATGTTAAGGTTACGTGACACAGCCGTAAGAATTTTACTCATTTCCAGCACAATTGTTCCTGATCAGTAAATGCTCGAGTGTTTAAATGTATAAATATGCGTAGGTGTTTCAATGCCCTCCGTTTTCAATCCCAGAATGCACTTTTTGCATCTATGTTTATGCATATACATATGTTTACATGCATAAGCGAATAAATTGCATGTCCTCCAATGCAGACATTTTGATTTCTTGTTACAAATCTAAACTCAGCACAAGTTTAAGCATCTGTTTGCATGTCCCTGGTGAAAACAATACACCTGTATTCAGATCCATCAATAAAAAATACTCTGAAATGTGTTCTTATGGCTGGGCACATGTATCTTAAGCTGGTCATACATTATACAATTTCCTTGTTCAATTTCAATTAGATTTACCTTCAACTATGTAGTGCAAGGGCCTGTCTGATTGCATACAAATTGAAAGTGTTTAGTTTTGACCCAGGGGTGGACTTGACCATTTGGAAACTCGGGACTGCCCGAGGGCCCGGGGTCAGTAGGGGCCCCATGAGATGCCCCTGGTACCTTTTTCATAGGCTTTTTTGAGTTTATACAAGGACACAGGGGCCCCATGATCCCCTATTGCTCGGGGGCCCCATGGGTTGTCAGTCCACCCATTTTGACCTCATATTATATGATTTTGGAAAATCTAAAGGAAAATTGTACAATGTATGGCCAGCCTTAGGCATTTGCAAGCGTCTTTTTAATTATGGCTCTGTATGCAATTGCTTTATTTTCAACAGGACATTCACACAGGTGTGTAAACATGCATTGCATTCAGATCCTTAAGCCGGGATTCACAATGATGCGGGTCAGAATTTGCAGCGTTTTCAGTGTGAATTCCGCACCGCATCAGAATCGCACCCCATTCATGCGAACTGCTGCGGGTGTGTATGTAAAGTTAACAACACCCCAAAAGTGGTCCGCAAAATGTGGTGCGATGTGCAGAATCGGATTGCATAGGTGTGAATACCTATGCGATCTGATTTTGGTTTGGACCCAAAAAGGGTCCTTCATGTTTTTGATACGGGTGCGGTGCGATTAGAGCCATACAAAATGTATGGTTTCAATCGCACCGCACACAAATTGCATGTGATTTGCACAGGAATGAGGTGCAGTTCCTGTGTGAATCACATGCGATATACGCACTGCACATACATGAACCCGGGCTGAGACTTCATTTGGACATGAGGTTGGGGGCAGCAAAAATTTGTAGTTTTTTTCAGCCTGACAAACACCCCCCCCCCTCTCCCCCCTCAAGCTGCAATAGGCAAAGTTTACCCTTCACATAGCGATTGGCACGCAGCAAGCCTATCGGACATTACACATTCAATTAAGGCATCATGTACACATGAACTCCTCTAGACGTTAAGCTCTCCTTAACATGTATAAACGTGGTACCACGTTTAACGCTTGGGCATTTACACCTGGGGACGTTGATTGGCCAGAGTATTTTCCATTAACATGAATAATAGACCAAGTGCTAAACGCTAGCTGTGTTTAGCGCTTAGGCATTTATCCATGTCAATGGAAAATCCTCTGGCCAATCAACTGAATAAACATCCAAGCGCTAAACGTGGTACCGCATTTACACATGTTTTATGCTGCATTTAGCTTTTTTTTTGTTGGAAAAAACCGTTACTCTCCTGAACGCAATTCTTCTGCGGTCAGGAAAGGAATGTTTAAACTTCCCCTGAACTCTGCTGCTCTTAAACTCTGATAAAATCCTATGAGCACATGGATGCATATACTTTTATTTTGTTGAGTTCAGGGGCTTTGGCAAAAAAGCACCAAAAGCTCCTAAACTCATGTATAGGAGTAGCAAAGTACATGAGGCCAAAATGCGGAAGCACCACAAATACACCACAACCACTTGCAATGCAAGCGGTGGTGGCGCAGTTTCTCTGCAAAAATGGGGTTAAAACGGGCATTGAGGAGGCATTGCATCACCTGCTGGTAGCCTATGAAGCATGAGCTAAACTCAGATCAAGCTTCAGAGGAAATTGAGATTTAGACACACATCTAAATCTAGACTTAAAATCTAAAACTCTGCTTCTGAGGACATGCGTATGCATTTGGGTATTGAGAAAGGCAACAGGACAATTTTACACATTTATGGGTTATGAAAGAACTTTTGCATCAGTAAAGTGTGTATGGCCCTGCGAATGTAAAGTTAATAATATGAGGACAAACCTTAGCAATCTATTCAATTTGTATCAAAGCAGGAAGGCTCTGGCACTAGTTGATGGTAGATCTAAAATTAATTGCACAATCAGATTGTATAGTGTGTGGTCAGCCTAAATGGTAGTGCCTTTATAGATGCTGTATTGAGTAGGAATATGATTTAATAGCCAAGGAAAGAAGTGACACCTGACTGAGTGCAGTAATATAATGTCTGTATTAGGGTCCATTCACACTACATGTGTTTCAGTTGCTTTTTTTCTGCATCAAAAAATAGGTGATATGGTTGTCAATGTCATAGTTCACATCAGTGCTTGCAGTTCCAGTGTGCTCCAGTTGCAGAAAAAAAAGTTGAACATGCTGCATTCTTTCTGCACAGAACTGTACTAGAACGTGGTAAATTACATCAAAAATGCACTGAAACACACTAGAATGCGCATGTCCCTATTTAAAATTAAAAAAAAGGGGGGGAGAATGAACTGGAATGCATAAAAACGCACTGGTACACGTGAAAAACGTGCATGTGGAAACACATCCAGAACGCATCTGGGCTGCGTTTCTGTAGTGTGAACCAGCCCTTAGTGTGCTGATCGGATTTGGGGTCATACAGAAGAGATCCTGTATCCTATATACCAGATGAAGCAGCAGCTGTCCCTGGTCACTCACCACCCTCTTCTGCTGTTTGATGAGCGGTCGGCTAAGGCCATTCATCTTGCTGTACAGGCCGCATGCATTGCACAGGTAGTGACCAGTACCGTCCCGTCTCCATAGGGGGGTCTGCACTGAGCCGCAGTTCACACACTCTCTGCTCTC